ATGTACTATTTATCTTCTCAGTAACAGCAAGCCAACTAAGTTCTCTTCTGATTATTCATAGACATTGTATTTCATAATTTAATATTACAGTAAGAAATACAACATCGGAATGACATACTATTACAAAATATTCTTATTGGTTAATAAGTAAGAAAAAGTACATCAGACATCTGTTGAGGCTCGTTTTTCTTTAACAAAGGCGTGTATTGTAGTTACAAATATAATTTTTAAAAAAACAGTCTAATGAAGATTCTTTAAAACATTTCTATAGACTTTATAAACAATTTTCGTTATTTTGTTTACTTTTGTTAGCCACCAAAAATGTAGTGGGAATTTTTGCAAAAGTAATTTAGACAGTAATTTATTGTATTTTTACAGAAATTATTTTTAATAAATTTAAAATTGTAATTCTATATTATTAACGGTTGACAAGCTTATTATTTACGTCACCTGTGATTCTACGTTACGGTTGACGACCGGAATTCATATTGACAATAATTTACAGTATTTTTATAGGAATTACTTATTTACGGTACCTGTGATTTTACATTACGGTTGACGAACGACATTTAACATCGACAATAATTTACCGTATTATTAAGGAATTAATTATTCACCGTACTGTGATTCTACATTACGGTTGACGACCGGCATTGAGATTGACAGTAATTTTCCGTATTTTGACGGAATAATTATGAACGGTAAACGTGATTCTACATTACGTTTGACGACTGGCGTCCTGATTGGCATTATTTTGACTGTATTTTTACAGGAATAAATTAATAACGATCCTGTGATTCTACATTACGGTTGGCGACTGGCGTCCTGGTTGCCAGTATTTTGACGGTATTTTTACAGGAATAAATTAATAACGGTACCTGTGATTTTACATTACGTTTGACTACCGTATTTCGATCAACAGTAATTTACCGTATTTTTACAGAAATTTATTTTTAACGGTAAATGTAATTTTACATTACGGTAAAGTACTGGCGTCCTGGTTGCCAGTATTTTGACGGTATTTTGACAGGAAAAAATTAATAAAGGTACCTGTGATTTTACATTACGTTTGACTACCGTATTTCGATCAACAGTAATTTACCGTATTTTTACAGAAATTTATTTTTAACGGAAATGTAATTTTACATTACGGTAAAGTACTGGCGTCCTGGTTGCCAGTATTTTGACGGTAATTTTACAGGAAAATTTTTAACAGTGTAGATACTGGAAAAGATGGAAGAGAGAAGGTTAGCAAAAGGTAATCAAGGAAAGTATAACAAAGTGAATAAAGAAATTAGAAAGATGTGTAAAACAGCAGAGGAAGAGTATCTGGAGGCGTGTTGTGCAGAAATTGAAGATCTTGAAAAGAAGGATGTACAAATAATGCATGATAAAGTTAGACAAATTACATACAAAAGAAAGAAAAATCTGACTAGCTGTATTAAAGATGAAGATGGCTTAGTTCTGATGGATGAGGTAGCAGCTGTCTCTTATACACATCTAGATGTGTATAAGAGACAGCTGCAGATGCATGTGCAGCCAGTTCCGGTACATTTGCAAACTGGTAAACCACTACCTTCCGACGTACAAAGATTACATGGATTTTAATTGATATAACTTTCTTTAAAACAGTTTTTGAAAGGATTTTTTTTTAATCAATTGCAGCATAATTATTTTTATAGCAAAAACATTTACTATGATAGTACGGCTGCATTGGAAACAGTTGAAAGATTAATTTATGAAGTTGATAACATACACCCCTAAATATGCCTATTATACATTTACCTTTCTAAAGCTTTCGACATCATGACACCTCGGTTCTCAAGCTCAAATGTTATGGTCTTAAAGGTACTGCTCTAGAATTTTGTAAGAACTATTTCAGTAATAGATATGAATAATTTTGTTGAAATTGTGAAATTCTGAAATAATATCTATTCTAAAGTGGATAACCCATAGGACTGTCTCTTATACACATCTAGATGTGTATAAGAGACAGATTGTAAAAGTAACAAAAATATTTACATAGAGAGCATTTATACAAAATGTAGGCAGCAAAATATCTAAATAATATAAGAAATGAGCGTAGTTGGCTCTCTTGTAATAATTCAACAGCCTTTTTCTGTGACTTAGAGCCTGGTAGTGTGGTGTCCCATAATAAAATGACATAATGTATGTTAATGTGAGACAAAATGGTGATGAATAAGTTAAAACAATACTAATTGGAAGAAAGAATAAATACCTGATTTGGAACTTTTTGATATATTTATATTAAGGGAAAGCTTATTTAATTTTAACCATTTCCACACCTTATGAAGTTTTAAATTGATATAATTTTGTCAGGAAGCTACTAGTTAATGTGACCGGAGCGCCGCAGTAGAATATTATAAAATTGCGTAAATGTGGTTCTACAGAAGAATGTTGAAGATCTCGTGGGAAAAGAAAATGACAAATGGAGAAGTGTTGCAAAAAGCGAAAACAGAAACACAGTTGATGAACACCATAAGAGAAAGACAATGGAGATTTTTTGGACATATTCTAAGAGAAGAAGGTGGAATTGAAAGACATATCATCGAGATGGAATTGAAGGGGAAAAGGGCGAGAGGAAGGCAAAGGATGAAGATGCTTGATTGGATGAAAGAAAAGCTGAATGTGAAGAATGATGTAGAGCTTGGGAATATTGCGAGAGATAGAAAGAGATGGAGAAAGACAGGACAGACACTGACAGACAATCCATGAACGCCTACGGCATAATATGCTATGGTACACGAAGAAGAAGAAGTATATAGATGACCGGAAATTACACTCTTATAGTAAAATTCAGCATTATCACATCATCACATTAGGCCTATAGTATGAAGCGCCAACACATTTCACATGATCTTTTATAAGCGATTTTCGGTAATCGGAGATCTATCGTAATTAATCTCTGAGATGTACCATATAAAATACACCTGATAGTTGTTTGATGTATTTACTTAACTTTACCGACTTTCATGTGCCGAAAAACAATGTTATTTTCTCACGCATTTTCTCAAAGTATAATAAAGGCACGCGCATTGAGTCGTGTATTATATGTAATTCAGACGTTTATGGACAGAGATACCGGTATCTTGCTTTAAGAAGATGATATTCTGGCTGTACAGCGCTCTTTCGTTAAACCTGTGTCATTTATGCAGTTATTTACAACAATTTACAGGCATCATCTTGACTTATGAAATCACATTGCCGCCAAAAATTGGGAGGGGGAACCAACACTGCTTAAAAATATGTGGGGGATGTGGTCGCCAATTCCATTGTGGGATTTTATGTGCTCGGTTGTTAATTATTTTTGTCATTGCATTCTAAATATTTTTAACGGCAAAATAAATGATATGAGTGGCAAATCCAGGAATGGGCCCTTGGAGACACTTTTACTAACAAAGGGTCAATCCTTAGCCCCACCATTTGTGATTACGGCACCTCTAAAATTCAATATGATATGCAGTCGATGTCAGGGACATATTATGCCGTTTTGTATCAACAAAGTCATTTTAGGTCAGGGTGCCAGATCGAGGGCCATGTGCTTAGGGGACCCTAGGGGTCGGAGCCCTGCGGATCGCCGCACGTGAGCGCATGGAGTTACGCCACTGCCCCTGGGCTACCCTACTGACAGAAAATGGAAATAAATAAACATGATACTTTTATCAACCTGAACGCTAAGTAAATATGGCCAGTTTGACTTTCTTTCTCTTTAAATGATCATCGTTTTATATTTGTAGTTTTACTCCCTAAGTAATCATTACCGTATTCCGGTTGCCAAACCTAGACTCCAAAATAATAATGACCGATAGGAACATATAGAGTATACAAAGATAGTAAAACTACGATGTATACGGTACCGTAATAATAAAACATGTAATAATAGAAATGATTTATTAGACCCATGGAGCTATGATTTGCCCGACGATGGATCAATTTCTCCGAATGGTCGGGTGGATATTCTCTGCAGGAGCGTAATAGGCGGCAGTGTCAGGGCTTCCCATAATCCCCGGAAAAGGAGAAAAGCACATGAAGCTCTGTCAATTTAGGGATTTTTTTAATCGTTTTTTGTGTGTTTGGCCTGAAACTATACTACACTATATACAATTATGTAAGTAAACCGTAGCCTATTGGTAGGCCCTATCACTGACAATTTAAAAAGGTCTATAACAAATAGAAATACGGTATGTTTTTAACTGATTATTTTCCCAGATGGCGAAATGATTCAATATAATAGTAATATATATATGCCCACAAATTATCATTCAATTGTTATTTATCACTGTGGACAGACTATTAAATTTGTTCTAAACACGGTGTATTGCATTTAGATTGTATAAATACTTTTGTACAAATTCATATAGCTCACTCTCCCCCCAAACCCACCCAACTACCCACCTACCCCAAGAATACGATAATGTATACAAAAAATGAGAAACGTAACAGATGAGCTAGCGTCGGGATTCATTTCATTCATTTTTTCATTTTATTTTATTTCACACAACGCAAAAATACAATATAAAATTCTTCAGAAAGGTAAATAAATAACAAAGACAATGTAATCTAATTAAGTAATATTAACAAATGATTAACAAGTGAAGATATAATAATTAATAATAACAATAATAAAAAAATAATACAGCACAATAATAAAGATAATGAAGTTAATAATAAAAATAATAATAGTAATAATAATAGTAGGGATAGTGTCGAGTCACTGTAGGCCTACACAATATGCTATGATTATTGATCAAACAATATTGTAGCAACGAAATCCATAATCGTTGAGAATTTTCCACCAATCAGTAGCCCGCCCCCTTTTACGTAATTGGATAGTTGAGTTAGCAGCAAACAAAAGCACTAGTCGTAGTAAGCTTAGTTAACATGGTAACGGCAAATAAGAAACAGCGGTGGAGAAGATCAGTTGTCAACCGTAAACCGACGTTTGCATCACAATGTAGTTTTAGACAAGGTTATGTTTAGAAAAAGCCTATCGCTGCAGAAATGGAGCCTAGGGAGCAGCCTGTTGAGCGGCTACAAAGTCACGTTCATTTAAAGCACACTCCTGGCCTAGCTACTAGTACTACGACCAACACCACCAGGAAACTAATACTCTCAAATTCGAAGCGTCTCTTTTTAGGATTATGTTTCTTTACGTGTCTTTCGTGTGTGCAGTCGGAGGATTTGACGTGGGCTGACTTAGGAATAAGGATTCAAATTCCGAAAAAATCGGAATTTGATATGGATACTGTAGAAGTAATAACGTTTAATTATACTTCCAATGCATCTATAAATATATCTATAAGTAGTAGCGACACCGATGTTGCTGGAATAGACGGTCCAACTATCTTTTATTTAAATTCTACTACAAATGACTCGGTCGTCTCATTGAGTGTTAATGTCAGTGGAACTCGATTTGGGCGAGCTAGGCTTCGGTTTGATATCAATTACGACAATGGGGATGATTATATTAGTACAATCTGCTTAGATGATAAGGCAACAGCTACGGAACCAAGATGTCCAGAACTGGTTGTACTAAGGGTTACATCGTAAGTTATTACTTGAGTTCAGTAACGTTTACCTTTTAATTACGTTTACGTTGTATAGGTAGCAAGTAGCCTGCACATACCGTGCTTTACATGTTGTATACATACATATAAGGTACACACACACATACATACATATATATATATATATTTATATATATATATACATATATATAGATATATATATATACACACATATATATATATATATACTG